GGAGCAGATTTGCACAGCAACCAATGAGCTTATCTGTCTCATTTTTAAACCTTACCTGAGCAAACTGAAGAGAGATATTGATTGGTTGCCAAAAGCAACTGCTCCAGATTCTGTCTGCTCCAGTTTTGATAAATCCCCCCCTAAGTGTTTAATTACAGCAGTATACTGTCTGTTCTAAGTCCTCGTTGGCTATATCCGGAGTGTGTATAGGTGGCACACTGCTGCCTACAGATCTCTGCAGCATTAAACAGGTTAAACCTATAGCACCAATAAATCATTGCTAACGATCAGCCAAGTAAGTGTGTGTGTGTTGTGTTGTATTGTATTGTATTGTATTGTATTGTATATTCCTCACCAATGCCTTGCTGAGCAGGGAACTTTCTCTAGTTTTTCTGACCTTTGCACACATCCATTGAAGGCTCCTCCCTGAGTGCTGTGCTTGGCTTTAGGAAGGTCATACTGACTCTTCTTTCAGATTACTTGTGTGTTTTAATCCGAGGAAATGTTTTCGGTTTCACTTTTTATATTAAATTAAGCTCTAATCGGCTTGTTTTCTCCAGCAAGGGTATTGAATTCAGGTGTATTGCCATTGGAAAGCACATAAGGCTTTAAAGTATATGCAAACACAAAGCAACAATGCCATACTGATCCTTAGATGTGGCCGCTGCTGTTTATTTTCACCTGGTGATCCGGCCAGTGAGGGCTCATTCACATCAAAGTGTTACACTAAAGAAGAACTCCGGGGGAACAGTTTTCTTAACTCTTGCATTGGGGCTAATTTGGGAAAAGGAGTTAGCCCCCCCCCTTCTCGCCGCGTCACTTATCTTTGGCCGAACGCTCCTTCCCCTCCACCAGTGCAGGTGTACTATCAGTACTTCGTACACAGCCGTGCTGCCCTGCGCTCTGTATTTTGAATTTCGCTTTCAAATGTTGAGGTTATCAAAAACTCAAAGAGGGAAGTTATCAAAACTGGAGCAGTTGCACAGGGCAACCAATCAGCATCTCTGTTTGCTCAGGTAAGATTTGAAAATGAGACAGAGAAGCTGATTGGTTGCAGTGCAAATCTGCTCCAGATTTTGTTTGCTCCAGTTTTCATAAATTCCCCTGCCACTGCAGGTGGTCAGAAGCACTTCCTATGGGTCAGTGCAGTTAGGGAGAGTCGCTTCTGCCCACGCTGAGCAACAAGAAGCGTTTCTTGCTAAGAATAACCAATGAGTGTTCGCCATTTCACTGCGCCGTGGTGTACGTATAATAGGCAACGGAGGTAAGTATAGCAGGGAGGAGAGTGGGCCAGATTGGAAGGGGTCATTCCAATTTCCCAAATTCACCTGGGAAAGTGGAATTACCCTTTAACCGCCTCCCGGTTGTTGTTGAACGGCCGGCTGGGAGCTTCCTGGATGTAACAGGCCGTCAAAAAATGTTCTGTTGGCCCCGCCCGCTCACGCGCGGGAAACTGCTTTATATTATGGTGCGGTGACATCGGTGGCACCAATCCTGCATTTTCCTGCAGCCCACTGCACATCACTCCTGACTTGTGGTGTGAACAAGGCTTATAGAAAACAATTGCTTCCTATGTGCCCTAGCGGTGACTGGCGTTCATCCGATGCGGAAACACGCCAGTCACTGCTGTATGTGTGAATGGCCCTAAATCAGCTAGTGCATCTAACACGGTGACAATGCTGCTATCCAAGGGTGGCTCCATTGCTCTTCCATAGAGTGTAGCCACCCTGAGGCAGGAAGTGTGTTACTGGCTGGATCACCAGGTGAAAATAAAGGAAACATTCCAAAAAAGAAAACTAATACAGTTACCACATCTAAAGCTTAGTAGGTTGCAAGATATAACATTTCTGTTTTTGGGTTTCGTCGCCGGGAGTCTGTTTAAACAGCCCCGATGCTGGCGACATACACTGTACGTCGTCAGTCACGAAGGGGTTAAATCCATATTATGCTGACTGAAAGGTTCTGTCAGGGCAAGTAGAAATTGCAAGGACTGGCTAACGGAGAGCTACATTCACTAAATTCAGGAGTTAAATCTTAGGGATGGGGATAGGGATCGGTATAGGGATGTCCCTATACCGATACTAATCAGGCTGATACAGGCCATTTTCACCAGTACTTGTACTGGGGAAAATGCCCCGATACATAGAGCCGATACCGGCCTTTTAAATATTTAAGCAATATTTGGGGACCTCGCAGTAGCTGTCTTTTGACAGCGTTGGTCCGCCCCACATCTCCTCCTGATGGGATCTGTAGTTCTCTATTGCTGGTTGCCATTCTCCATTGCTGTATAATCATGGATTGAGTTAAGATGGCCACACACCTTGAGATAATCTTACGATAATCGTGCTAAATCACGCAATCGTACGATTATCGCAAGGTGTGTGGAAGGCGTGCGACTTTTTTGTCTTTCGAGCATGTTCGAAAACCAGCCGAGAATCGTACGATTTTCGGCTGGTTTGTAGCATGATCGTGAGATAACTGCCGCACGGGCCAGTGTGCGCAAGCGCACACTGTCCGTTCAGCATTGCGGTCATCGGAAACCCGCCCCTCAGATTGTACGTTTTTTAAATTACCTTACAACCCTCACAAGACAAAAGTCTTGCAAGGGTTTTAGGCCTCGTTCACACCTGACCGTTTTGTAGCGCGTCCTACGCTTGACGAACGCGCTACAAAACGGTCAAAAATATAAATTGCATTGTACTCAATGCCCTCGTTCCCACCTTGCCGTATTTCCGCCCGTCCCTAACGCCCTACAAAACGGGCCACACCTGAAAAGGTCCCGGGACTACTTTGGGCCGTTTTGTAGGGCGTTTTCCATTGGGATACAGCCAAGTAGCCTTTGGAATCGCGCAACTTTTTTACCGCAAATCGCGGTAAAAAAAACGCGCGACAGACGCGCATATTACAATACGCCTAGGTGTGAATGGGGCCTTAAGGTCTGTGGCCAACTTTACAGTTCTTGTCTTGAAAAAAAATGGTATCGAGGCATCCTTACTTAAAATGCATTCAAGTACTAGCTATTATCAAATGTGGCCTATTTGTGTAATGGGGATTTGGGCCTAAAACTGACAGAGGTTCCAACACTCCCCCAATCAAATCTAAACAAACATTTTACCTGGAGATACACTTTAAATGCAGTTTGTAATGAGAGAAATATGGGAGCAGCAATTGCTGACCTCCTGAGAAAGCCGGTTGCCTGGTTCGGTCTGACTTCAGTTTTTCCTCAAACAGTCCCAGGAACTGGGGATAGTACTCGTACTCGCCCTCACATGCCCCGATACTTACACCCGATACCGGTCAGGAGGGAGATTTCCTCTGACCAGCAGTGCTGCAAAGGAACATGGAGCCGACTTCCTGGCCAACTAGGAAGCCAGGCGACGGGTAATGACTCCCCGCCCGGTTTCCTGATTGGCCCGGGAAGCCGCCTCCATGCTGTTTGGCCGGCTCCATGCTGATTGACTGGGAAGTCGGCTTCCCAGTCAATCAGCATGGAGCCAACCAAACAGCATGGAGCTGGCTTCCCGGCCAATTAGAAAGCCTGGCAGCCGGTAATGACCTGCCTCTCGGCTTCCTGATTTGCGGGGAAGCCGGCTTCCTGGCCAAACAGCATGGAGCCGGCTTCCCGGGCAATCAAGAAGCCAGGCAGTTGGTAATGACACGCCGCCCGGCTTCCGTGTTGGCCGGGAAGCTGGCTCCATGCTAGCAAAAGTACCGGCATCGGTACTCTGTATCGATGAGTCCTGAAATAATATATACTCATACTCGATACTGAAAAGCCGGTATCGGTGCATCCCTACCAGAAACGCATTTAAATCAGGAACCTTATAATGTAGTCGGATCTGATCTGCATGGATTTTCATTAATGAAACCAGATTGAAATATACATTACATTTACAATCATCATGTTTCTGAACAGCTGGCTCCAACACTCTCAGCTTGGCTTCCCTGAACTTCCAGTCCAGTACAAGATCACAAGGAACAGTACAATCTCCAGGAGTTGTCCATAGACTAGCTTGGAGAAGGGAAGAAGGAGGAGTGGGGATCAGAGGAGTGCCTTGCTGTGCCTGTGTGTTTGTAGAGACACATCCAGCTTACTAGCATACACAAGGGTGGCTCTATAGGACCCTGCAAGGGAATGGAGCCACCCTAAAACAGGATATTAGTGTCAGTGCTCAGGTGACCAGCTGATTCTGCAGGAAACTAAAACGTTTAAACATCAAGGAGCAGCATCCATTGTAAGTGATTGTATCACCATTTAACTTTAAAGGAGAACTATGGGGTCAGTGTTTTCCCCCATAGTTCTCCTTAGGGTAATGGGAGGACACAAACTAGCGTCCTCCCGTTACCCTAAGCTCAGTATACCGCGAGCTACAGCTCGCGGTATACTGAGACGCCGCAGCCGGAGCGGATCCCGACTTAGATGACGGGATCCGCCCAGCTGCGTGAGTGACAGCTGGCTCTGCCTACCTAGAGGCAGAGCCAGCTGTACCCGCCCCCTCCCCCGTCCGTTCCGCCAGTCAGCGCTGGCAGATCGGGGAGAGGGGAATCCAGCCCCTCCCCCTGTCACGGCAGAGAGCCGTGACAGGATCAAGAGGTGAGCGAACGACGGTATGTGTTCGCTCACCTCCCGATCTACTGAGCCGACCTGTGACAGTCTCATTGTCACAGGTCGGCTAGAACTATGAGGTGAGGGAAAAGCACTCACCTCATAGTTCTCCTTTTAATATCACTTGTGTTCTAGTGATTGTGGTTACTTTGATCAATATTGAGGGGGAATCCCCCCCGCAAGGACACAGAAATAAATACCTTCAGAGGGCTGCTAATCCTAAGTTACTCTGTTGAAAACCAAAGAATACAAAGTTTTGACTTTAGCTACTTTAGCTCAGCTCATAAAAATCAATATATATTTTGTTGTCAGGCTTTTTATTTTGTCAGGGAATACAATGTGTTGGCTGGTTTCTTAGATGACCTACTTGGCAGGAAAATTGCAGTGCCAACTCTGTGTCTAGACTATGATGATGACCCGCAGGCACTGCTGACGTCTGTGTGATGCCAACACACTGCCAAACACCCGGCATTGTTTTGGGGAAGATCCTTTCCTCTGACAACATAGCAGGTAGAAGAGCTCTCCTACTACTCAATTCTTCTCCTTTGGGTCATCTCCACAGCTACGTTATGAGGACGTCCACCCCCTGTCATGCATCTTTCTGACCGGGCCGGCTGCACCGCCTTCCGCCCCTGGTTGTTACGCCACTGACTCCACACACAAACACACACAGCACACATAATGCAAACTATTTACACAGGTTTTACATCGCTATTCAGCCCGTCCACAGTCCAATATAAGCAGCCCTGGGGGGAGGAGGCTGAAACATGAGGGTCCTTGGGCAGTGCACGAACAGTCAGTCCAGGCTCAGCTAGGTGCTCGCCAGGACTCCTAAATGCTTTTACCCGGGATGGCCCAGTTCAGCCTGTCCACAGTCCACTGTGAGCAGCACGGGGAAGAGGAGGCTGAGACATGGGGAGAATGCGGGTCCTCGGGCAGTGCCCGAATGGTCAGTCCGCGCTCAGCTAGGTCCTTGCCGAGACTCCTGAACACTTTTCCCTGAGAATGATTTTCATTATCGAATGTTATTGACTTTGTCGATCAGTTGTTTCAGCCCTGCTGGATACTATGCTGGCTCCAAGGCATGAAGGGATGATTTGCATGGCCGCAGCCATTATACTAAAGTCAGGAAAAATCTCCTTTTTGGGATTTGTAATGGAAGTGCGGCATGTAAATACTTTCTGTTTTCAGAAGATTCTTCGGTGCTTCAATGAGGTCCAGTGGAGGGCTTTTTGGTTCCTTTCTGTCCTCTTCATGATAATCTGTCTGGTTATACTTTCTCATTGCTCCCCAAGCCATACTGAATATCAGCCATGGTTTACACACATTGCAGTGATGATGACCCAGAAGCCTGAAACAGCTGTATGGAATAATTAGGCTATCAGATGGTATAAACCGGCAGGTCTGGATGTGCCGTTGGCCTGGGGCCATAGAGCAATGATTTGCATGGCTTCACCTACTATCACAAAATGAGGAATACACTTTATTTATTTGGGATTTTGATGACGTAGTAAAATGCATAGAAAACAGTTTAAAATCTAAATTTTAAAAATGCAAAACAAAATTTAAGATTGACCCAAACAATTCTAACTTTCCACAAACAAACAAACAATCTGGAAATGTTGGATGACGTTATGTAGACATGCTTCATATAGCTTTCTCAAACTCCATAAAGCTGAAATTCAGGCAGATATTAAAAAGATAAGGTGAGAAATTTTCATCTCACTAAATGACTAAAAAGTTCCCTGAGTGAGTCTAATTGCTTGCTGCACGTCCTGCTCTATTGGTCCTACACCCATGCTGACTATTGAGTATTTAGGCAAGTACTCGTACTTGCCCAAATGCTCCGATATCGGAACTTCCGGTCAGAGGGAGATTTCCTCTGACTGGCAGTGTTGCGAGGGAACATGGAGTCGGCTTCTCTGCCATTGGCCAGCCTCCCGGCTTCCTGATTGACCGGGAACCTGGTTCAATGCTGATTGGCTGGGAAGGTGGCTGCCCGGCCAATTAGCATTGATCCTGCCAAACAGCATGGAGCCGGCTTCCCGGGCAATCAAGAAGCCAGGCTGCGGGTAATGACACCCCGCGCTTCCTGATTGCTTAGGAAGCCAGCTCAATGCTAGATTGCTAGCGGAAGTGACGGTATCGGTACTCGGTATTGGTGAACAGTTGACCGCACTGGAACGCACTAACTGGTGTGAACAAGCCCTCAAGGCCTTTAGCTGATTAAGCACAAGCTGTGACCATCGGCCTTGCATCAAGGATCCATACAACACAGACTAAACAGTCCTCTCTTTATCTTGGAGACCAACTACGAATCTGCTGAATGCATTTCCAATTATGTCCTTAAATAACACTGTGTGAGGATTTAAAGTTGTTGCTGAAACTTGGATAGAACAATCCCCACACAATTAAAAAATGATTAGAGATGTTTGAAAACATTCTCATTGACACACGCCAGTACTTCCTGTAACTACAGACTAAAGCTGGCCATACACTTTACAACCATCGCACGACTTTCGTCTTGCGATGGTTGTAAGGTAATTAAAAGCTCGTACGATCTGCCCATCGTGGACAGGCAGATCGTACTTGCGAACATTGCAAGCCCGCCCCGCTGAGGGGAGGGCTTCCGATGACTGCAATGCTGAGCGGGCAGTGTGCGCTTGCGCACACCAGCCCGTGCGCCATTTGTCTTCAGAGCACACCACAATCCGATTTTCGGCTGGTTTTCCAACATTTTTGTAAGACAAAAGACGCGCGACCGTCAGTAGAAACAGTCGCACGTCTTCCATACACCTGCCGATTATCGTACGATCGTGGGATTTCCCGCGATTATCGTACGGTAATCGGCAGGTGTATGGCCACCTTTACAGACAGATGACTCTACTACAATGGTCACCCAGTTGCTTGATTTATTTTCTGCTTGTTAAGCTGTTTTTTAGCTGGAATTTAAATTTATCGGCATCAGATGTAATGTAAAAACATCCCATTCAATTCATGTCCATTTATGTAGGCCCTGAGGGGCGGGCTTACGATGACTGTAATGAGGGGCGGGTTTGACTGCAAACGGGCAGTGTGTGCGTGCGCACACCGGCCCGTTTGGCAGTTGTCGAACCAGCAGGCCACTAACTCGCCGAGAATCGTACGATTCCCGGCGGGTTTTCTAGCATGCTGGTTCGACGGAAGACGTGCGACCGTACAGTAGAAACGGTCGCACGCCTTCCAAACACTGCAAGATTCTCGTACGATCGCGGAATTTCCCGCGATTCTCGTACGAGAATCGTGCAGTGTATGGGCACCTTAATGGTCATATTTAGATGTAGTGAATAGGAAAAGGAGGGGCAGCACTAAACGCAAAGCACATAAACTGACCAGAAACTTGCTGACAGGAGGAGAGAACAGAGGGATGACTCATCAGGAGGTGACTAGGGGAAAATGTTGTTATTAAACCCTTGCAGTGGGGCTACCCACGCTGCAAGAGTTATCTGCTTGTTTTGTCTAGGTGCTGAAAAAAAAGTTCTACTCATCCAAACTGCCGAGCTGACTCCCTGCGTCTCCGGTCACTAAAGCCTGTCTCCTACTCCACTGAACAGAGGGAATGTTCTTTAGTGTCCTCACGTCTATACACATGTATAGAATGTGATGACACAAGATTGTTCTTCACAGGGATTCTCTCAGCTGCAGAAGAGGAGGAGGAGGAGGGAGGCTCTAGGGACCGGTCTAAGAACAAGTCGGCTGAATGATTGGGTATCGTTCTTTTTTTTAGCACCTGGACACAAACAACAAGTTGACCTTTGCAGTGCGGGGGTAGACCCACTACAAGAGTTAATTTAAAATGTTACCCCATGTAACTATTTAGATAGTAGCAAAGGGATTTGGGGTCAATTTGCACTGATGGGTTCCAGCAACAAGTGGTAAAACATGCGTTACCACAACACATGTTAATGCACACAATAGGGTGCAGTGTGTTGAAGTGCCATTTACTTTTAATGGCACCCAAACGCACCTAGCTATCGATGGTACCGTGAAAAAACTGAATGTATAGAAGTGTCACCAGCACACCAATCATTCACTAAAACCTTAAAGTCTATTTATTGAAGGGACATTGCCATTTAAAAACTAGCGCTTTCGGGGCCACACAGGGTCCCCTTCAACAGGCTGTGAATGATGCGATTCTGAGCCTGATGAAGAGGACCCTGTGTGGCCCCGAAAGCGCTAGTTTTTGAATGGTGATGTTCCTTCAAAAAATAGACTTTCACGTTTTTTATTGAATCATCGGTGTGCTGGTGACAATTCTATACATAAAAAGACATGTGTAACACATGGTTTTGAGGCGATTTTGCTCCCACCAACCATCTCTACTAACTAGCTTTTCGTTGGTTAAAAAAAAAACGCACAAAAAAGTGCATAAACAGGCAAAAAAAATGCTTTTAAATTCCTGAAAACGCTCAAGTGTGAAGGGCGACTTGGAATTGCAACTTTGCAGCAAAACCAGAAGAACAGAACGCATTGTGGTTTAGCAGCCTTTGGCTTAGTTTTCATACCTGAATGTTTGCTTATATTTGGTGACTAAGCTCTGTGGAATCAGAGGCTCTATGGTTTCTATAATCCTCCATTATTTTTGAAATGAAGGGTAGTTCTGACCACAATATACTTGAGTTTGGTTTTGCTGATTCATTGTCCAATGAGGAAGTTAGTGTGAAATGGGTGTCTTTAATCCTCTTGCTGCCACTGCCATGACTATAACTATAGGGGAGTAGGAGTTTGTTTACATATTTTCAAGAGGTGCACCGAAATGGAAATTTCATAAACAAAACTGAAATGAAAAAAAAAATGTCTGACCGAAATATTTTTTTTTTTTTCTTTCCTAACCTTTTCACATTTACATTTTTAAAAAAAAAAATATTTATTTTTTATAAACTTTTTAACTTTTTATTAAATATTTTTATGTTTTTTACTTTACTGTTGGGGGCTTCGGGGAAATATTAGGAGTCTAAAAAGACCCCTTGTATTTCCGTTTTGAAATAGAAAGAGATTTGAGGACACAGAGTCCTCAATCTCTTTTTCTGCAGCCCCTGTTATCAATGAACAGGAATCCTCTATACTGAGTGTTTGCGTTCATTCATAACCTGTGGAGAAAGTATGTTTACTGTGTCCACAATCATGAATGAACAGGAAGTGATGTAGAGCACTTCCATTCATTCATAATTGGGGACACAGTAAACATACTCTGTCCTCCAACTATTTACAAACACTCAGTGATCACATCCTTTCTGAATTGGCTTTCTCAAGAGGCTGATCGGGCGGTGTGGGGAAGAGAGCTCGATCTCCTCTGACAGCTGACTTCTCCACCACACCGCACGCCTGACTTCCTGTGACAGCTGACCTCTGTCTCTACCCCCACACTGCCGCTCTCCTCATCGGTCACAGGAGGCTGAGCGAGCGGTGCAGGGAAGAGAGCTCGATCTCCTCTGACAGCTGACTTCTCCCCTGCACCACCTGGCCTCCTGTGACAGCTGACCTCTGTCTCTGCCCCACACCATCGCTCTCCTGAATGTATAGGAGGCTGAGCGGGGTGGTGCGGGAGGAGAGCTCAGCCTCCTGCGACAGCACTGCAAGCTGTCATCTGTCCCACACTGCTGCTCTCTGAATCTGTCACAGGAGGCTGAGCGGTGCTGGAGGAGAGACGCCGGCCGCTTACAGCTCTCTCCTCCCCCGCTCCGCTTGGCCTCCTGTGACAGTTTCTCTCCTCCCCGCTGGACACTGCGCTGTGTCAGAGGGGAGGAGAGAAAGCAGGGATGCACCGCTATTTCGGCCGAAAGATGGCACTTTTCTACATTTTGCCAAAAGTGCCATTTTCGGCCGATACGTTTCGGCAGCCGAAATTTCAGTGCATCCCTAATATTTTCTCCTGACTTCCAGCTTTCTGTGTAGAATTGATTCCGGCAGATTTACAGCCGCCCAATCAGTTCCACATGCAGAGGATGTTGTACTCACTTCACCACCTGACACCACCTTTTCATCTGCCATGTGTCCCAGGCTCAATGGGTGCCCGGGACATTCATAGCAGATGTCAAGATGGAGAGTGGTAGGAAATCAGCTAACGCCTGTTTGAACTCAGAAATGCTCCGCTCTAATCACTTCCAGGTTTAGAGCTGCCAAACCTCTGCTGCTCTGGCTGGGGAAGAAGCTGATCGAGCACAGTGCAGAGGTGACATTACAAGCCTAATAGACCCCTGATCTTCTTAAAGAGAACCTCACCTGCACTACACTATGACATAGTGGGCTTGTTAGCCCTATTGTGACAGAAATTAAATGAAAGTAGAACTAACACCAGCATTTCTTTTTTTTTAAAGTTTTAGATAAACTTTTGTTGCTGACTGTGTCCCCATTAGGAAGATTAATACTGTCTATTTGTCCTGGTGAAAGTGAAAGAGAAAACCCCCAAATTTTACAGGGCTAGTTCACACCAGATGCAGTTGTGATGCAGTCCGTTCAGTTTGGCAGCTATCAAAATCGTATCGCAATGCTTTCTAATGGGATTTCTGGTGCTCTGTTCACACCAGTGTAGTCCGTTTCCGATGCAGTCAGAAAAAATCCTGCTTGCCACATTTTAGCAGCACCTGATCGCAACCGAACGCATCAAAGCACATTCAAACGCCCTGGACAGCACCGGGACACGACAAAAACGCATCACAAACATGTAAAAAACACATCACACTGCAGCTTTGCCGATGCACACAGTTCTGATGCAGTTATGGTGTGGACTAGCCTTAAGTTGTCACCAGAACAGGAATAGAGGCACAATCTTGGATTCTAGTTCTGATGACAACCAGGGATTTTCCTCACTTTGGAGGGATTTCCTCCGACTTTCTTTTGTGGCTTTAGGACAAGAAGTGAAGGGACACACAAAAACTGACAGGGGTTATAATCCTCCATTACTCTAGAGCAGGGCGAGTGGAAATGCAGTCAGGCTTGAGTCAGTACCTGACTAGTGGGAGCAGCTGCTCCTGCTGGTCTGTCTACCTTCCTTTTTGGCCGGAGCTCTTCACTGAGCTCCGGGTCGAAAACGGAGTGATTAGTAATGTCTGCAGACCTTACTAATCGCACCAGATCACCAGGGATCTGCCTGCTCGTCTCCTCCCTGCAGAAAGACAAGTAACATGGGGGCTTCTTATTTTATGTGTGGAGGGCAGGGGAGAGGGTAATATTTTATATGTGGGGGTGCATGGAACAGGGCGGAGAGTGTATTATTTTATATGTGGGGGCAGGGACCTTTATGGCAATATTGTTAAAGTTGTTAATATTTATTTTTGTAACTTTATTTTGCATAAAACATCTAACAGTGTGATTTATAAGATTATTTAAGAGGGTGTGTTTAGGGGTGGAGTTAAGGGCAGGGTAGGGGTTAGGTGGGCAACTGGTGGCGAGTAACTCTTAAAGCCTGGCTAGTAGCTCAGGACTTTAAATTTTGACCCCTGCTATAGAGTACTCGCCTAAATACTCTGTATCGGCACCTATACTAGTATTGTTGCATCCCTAGTAAAAAGTATGTAATACTTAACATACAGAGTTTTTTGTTCATGAGTGTATAATGTACACGGTACATTAAAATTCCTAACTGCTGCACCCAGTATGCTATTGCATATTCCATTACACAGTCTTGACCACTGAACTCTGTATGGTGTGCAAACATCTGCCCCAGTAACAATCTTTCCCTCAGCAAACCTCCCAATAACGCAACCCCTTCATTCACCTATTCTCCATCCCGCATCCAAAGCTTTCAAAGTAATACTAAATGTTGAGCTTTGTCTTATCAGAAGGGCCTGCCATTGGGGCATAGTGGGAGGGAAGAGGGGTCTGCAGGAATGTACAGGTACAACTTGGCACAGAGTCAATTTAATGTAAATGTGTACTTGGAATAATGCTACACAGATGAAGCGACACAGAATAGCAGGGTCCCTGCCCATCTGAATGCATATAGACTTCTGAAAGTCATTTTTTGTATATGGGAGGCTCCACCAGCATATTGGGGTGAACCACACCTTCTTTCTAGCTACAGGCTACATTTTAGGTGTAAGCACTTTTGGCCTTTCCAACTCGGCTTTATCTTTTTGCAGATGTACGAGTACTGTCAACTGGATGGGCCTTTTCAATGTCTTTTAAAGCCTAAGTGCACTTGTGCAGCACTAAGATTTATATGGCCACCCATCCAGTGCTCCTCAGCAAGTTTATAGATGAAAGTCAGATCTCCGCTGAAGAATTTTCCTGGTTATCCACTCAATGATGCTGAGGATGCTGGACTTTATTTAGGTGGCCTATTTGCTCTCCACATGGACAGAAGACATATATATTATACATATTAACAACTCAATTTTGTTGTTGTCATGTTTATCAGAGGAACTCCTTTACATTTTCAGGACTTGGAATATGGGCCCTAACGGGTACAAAAATGATTGTAGTGCAATAAATTTACAGCATGTCATGCAGATGTGTATTATACCTTTGGTGGAATCGGGTGTTCTTGTCACATAAAAACTATGCAAGCAGAGTCACTGTTCAGCTCACAGCACTGAATAATGAATTTTGTACTGTTGTAGGTTTCAATAACTTTTGTACCAGTGTGTATAAGGAAAGTTTGCTGCTGTGGTTAGCTTGTTAGGTTATGTGGAGATATAACAATACTGTTGCCATTCTTTTGCAGAGCGGCTATTGAACTTGTCACAAGAACAGAGGCGCCAAGAGCTGAGTAGAAATTACATTATACTGAATGATATTCCAACATGGCTTAATCAAAATGGAGACACACCAGCAGAAGGTAACAAAGTTTCTCTTTTAGGTGTTAACCACGTGACCGCCAGTTTCAATGAGCAATGGCAAAGGGCATGGTGAAAGAACTTTTTGCTCCGTGTTTTTTGCAGATTGGGCCGAGGAGGAATTTGCGGGGGGCAGATCATATTTATGTTTTGCCTAAATTTACTTAATGAAGTTAATCATTAAGTTAATGCACATGTATGTTTATATATTCTGTGCTGAAATGTAGAATATAACATTTTATTTTTTTAAATATTTAACCCTGGTAAATGTATTTCCAGCCAGCATGTGAGCTCTGTGTTACTTTTTACATGCTCATCAGGCTAATTGTATCTGTTTTGCTCGTAAAAAGCCTGTTTTATAGAGTTGATGTGGCAATTCCATCCTCCTGACTGCTCTGTGCAGAAGGGAAAATTCAGAGAGAGAAAAAAAAAAAAATAACTCCGGACAAATTACGCTTAACTTAAAATAGAACTATGGGGTTAAGGCTTTTCCCCATAGTTCTCCTTAGGGTAACGGGAGGACACAAACTAGCGTACTCCCTAGGCTCAGTATACCGCGAGCTATAGCTTGCGGTATACTGAGATGCCGCAGCTGAAGCGGATCCCAACAATTGTGCCGGGATCCGCCCAGCTGCGTGACTGACAGCTGGCTATGCCTATCTAGAGACAGAGCCAGCTGTACCTGCCCCCTCCCCCGTTCCGCCAGTCAGCGCTGGCGGATCGGAGCGGGGAGGGGGGAATCCAGCCCCTCCCCTGTCACAGCAGAGAGCCGTGACAGGATCGAGAGGTGAGCGAACGCCAGTCTCATTGTCACAGGTCGGCTAGAACTATGAGGTGAGTGAAAAGCACTCGCCTCATAGCTCTCCTTTTAAGGGGAGAATCTTTTCACTCCAAGAACTAAAATAATTAGGGATGCACCGATATATCGGCCGAAAATGGCACTTTTGGCATAATGCCGAAAGAGCCATGTTTAGGCCGATACATCGGCGCATCCAAGGTTTCTTTCCTCCCCGTTGGGCGCTGCTCCGTGTTCCAGCGGGGAGAAAAGAAAGTGACAGCTGGCCGAGTGCTGCAGGACGAGAGCGCTGTGAGCGGCCAGCGTCTCTCCTCCCTCACCGCTCAGCCACTTATCACAGTCCGGCAGAGCGGTGTGGGGGCGGAGACAGCGCTGTCACAGGAGGCTGGGCTTTCTTCTCTACACCGCTCGATCAGCCTCCTGTGACATCGGTCTATTTAAAATGTTTATAAAAAATAAAATATTTAAAAAAATGGAAAAACTTTCGGTATCGGTTTCGGCCTGACATTTTTTTTTATTTCGGTTTTAAAATTTCCATTTCGGTGCACCTCTAAAAATAAAAAAATACAATGAGGGGATTTTTAAAAACTGGAGCAGACAAAATCTGGAGCAGCTGTGCATGGCAACCAATCAGCTTCTGTCTTTCATTTTTCAAATCTTAACTGAACAAACTGAAGAGAGAAGCTGATTAGTTGCCATGGGCAATTGCTCCAGATTTTGTCTGCTCCAGTTTCGATAAATTCCCCTCATTCTTTTTTTTAATGGATGGGGACTCTTAGTGCCCCCGTGACCAGGGCAATCTTATTCTTAGAAGGTTGTGTGAAAAGACTATAAAATATAAAGCTAAAACTGCTTATCAATTGATTACTGCCAAATGACAGCAATTACTAATTGCAATTGATGTATTTTAATTTCCAGTCAGCTAATGACAAATTATATTCTCCATAACTTGTCCCATGTTTATCTATTCTATGTAATGCTTCCATTTTGTAGTTTAGTAGATACCAACCTTAGAAAAGTCATCACCGGGTTCTAAATGTAAAAAAAAGTAAACTGTATCCAACATTTTACAACAGTATATATATATAATAATGTGGCAGCACAACAGGTGGGCTTTAATGCCCAGCTGCCGCATATATCTGTTGTTTTGTAGCTTGGCCAATCAGCGCCCCCAGAGCTGTGACTGAGCTGTCACAACAGCTCACTGTCAACTATTGATGATCAAGAGCCGATTGGACAGGCTCCTGATTACATTATCACTGTGCGTGCAATTAGTGACTGAATCAATGGTAGCCCCACCTACCAGCCTCTGACATCACTGCCCACTTAAAGGGCCTTCTCCCGCTGATTGCAAGGGGTTCAAAATAAAAAGATGTGATTAAACCCGACACATGCAGGTAAGTCTGTGCACAGTCATGCACAGTCTGTGTGCTTGTTGCTTAATGGATATTGTGAATACCCATTTGCGCCAGTGACAGAAGAATTGTTTTTGGGCTGTCATTTATTTTTAGTTTCAAACTGATAAGTTTTAAAGGTTTTTAACTTGTCCTTTGTGTGCATTTTAGGTTTTGTAGTTTTTCACAGATTTCAAGCCCACATGATTTTGATGTTAGGCATATTTGGTATTATCTCGATTTTTGTGTAATTGTGTTTTGGCCTTAAAAATAAAAAAAGTGTATTTTTTTTAACTGAAAATATAGAGTTCATAAACATTTGCGAGATGCCGTGCAACATACAAAATTATGACTACCTTCTTTTTGTTCTACAACATATGTATGTATGTGGAGAGGTTGGTGGATTGGTCTTTGCCCTGACTCATTCATATGTTTCAACTTCTACTATTTCACTCTATAAACAAGTAGTAACTACAAATTGTGAAAAGGTGCCTAATGGTCCACCTGTTGGTAGGAAATGAGACTGCAGTATATTAATATGCAATTTTATTGTTTAGTTTTGACCATAGTTATATATATATATATATATATATATGTGTATATATGTGTGTATATATATGTATATATATTCTCTAAACATTCCCTTTTAATAACACTATATATTTTCATAAAAAAATTAAAAAATTGCCAGCAGTGTTTTGTTCTGAATGTACTCCGAGCCTCAGCCTACATTCTTGGTATGCCTTGATCCCGGGGTGAATTAACTCCCATGGACAGGCACCCGAGTAAAGTCACCCTGGGCTGGGTAATCAGGATGGCCAAAGTCTAAACAAGATCAGGTGAAAGGTGAAGATATCACTGGCGGTGACAGAGCAATAAGTCAGACTATGATGAAGGGCGTCACTTTCACTAGTAAGTCTGCAACAATGTGCAGACTTTAGTTCCTTTTTAATTTCACTGGTTGGACTCCAGCTTGCTAACAAAATGAGTAAAGATCATTAATTCTCAATCAAGGTTTAATAAATGTTTTTGGAAGTCCCTCTTAAAATAACATAAATGTAGACTTGAAATAGTCATAGAGGACACAGAACATGCTGTCCAGCATGAGGTCACGTGACTAAACAGAAGAGCCTTGGAAAAAGGTATGCAAACCCTTAAAGGTTCTATTTTTTTTGGAGGCAGATGAATAGGTGTGTAATACCCAACTTCACTGCCAGTCCCTTCACCCCACTGGCTCCACCTCTCACCTCCTTTCTATTTCACTCGCTTCCATGCACACTCTCTATTAGTACTCAGCCATATTCAATGCCAGTAGTCCATGTGATGACTTTACCCCAGAAGTCAAAACTCAGAGAAAAACCTGCAACAGTTATCTGTGTCGAGGAAGCTGTCTACAGCACCAGAAAGTCACATATCTGAAAAGGAAACCTGTCACCTCTTTAGAATTTCAGTTATGAGTAGGTTATGTGCACCACCAAGATAAGTTATTGACTGTCAAGTTGTTCATAATCCAGTTTATTTTTCCTGTTATAGAATTGCATGCGCCTTACAGTCCCATAAAATACTGCTGGTTTTTAATCTTTCAGTAGCTTGCTTCTCGGTTGTTGATCATTTGCATGGATGCTGTGTTCATGTACTCGATTAGTTTTCCAAACATTTGAGTGAGTTTTATTTTCCTTGTTATTGCTGCTGGAATAACTGTAAAGAGGTATTTTCAATGAATTACAAGGAATTGCCTTATAATTAATGCCCTAGCTAAAGGACCTAGCTAAATCCATTTGTTTTCTGGGATCACGGTCATGTTGAAAAGTTAATTTCAGAATAGCAGACAGCCTCTCAGAGCACCCAGCCTCTTGCATGTTAATGTACAGTGTCTGAAAATAAATTCCAGCAGACCAAAAAGGTGATCAGTGTTGCTGCACAAAGAAAAGTCAAGTCTGGTAGCTTAAAATGGGGATTTTCTACCATTTTTTAAAATATATTTTTAATTTTTTTTTCCACATTTAGGACAATGTCTTAACTATTAGGTTGTGTTGCTATTATTAAACAGGTTTTGTATTAATCCATGCATTTGTTAATGTTTTACTTAAAACTTTTGTGCACTTAAAGCTGGACAAATGGCTAGATACACCGTTAAAATACATAAATGGGAGTTGTTCTACCTGCCAAAGGTTTTTTTTTTTCTTTCTGTTCTTTAGTTAAATCGGCATTCTTTTTCGACTGCAGTGATGGAAAAAACAGAATAATTTTCTGTAATAATAAAATTAAACAGTTGATGATATCGTCAGAAAAGAAAGTCAAACAGTGAATATTGTTTCCTCACATTGGTGCTCAGTTAAGAAATTGTCCCTTATATTGGTCGCCAGCCAAACTCCTTCTTACATGGTGGCCATTGTAGAAGGTCCTTCTTAGATGGGTGGCCTGTGGGAGAAGGACCCCTGTACATTGGTGGTTAATGAAAGAAGAGCCACCCTTAGTGGTGGCCAGTGGGAGATGGCCCATTACAGTGGTGATCAATAGGAAAAATATGCTCTTTACATTGGTTGTCATTGGAAAGAATTCCTCCCCCTTGCAGATATGTAAAAAGATTACTGGTTAGTCACTTCTATGAGTGCCAGAAATTGCCGATTACTCAAGGAACCTCTAGCAACCTCTGGAGGAACCCTGGTTGAGAAAGGCTGCTCTAGTCAATAAAAGCTCTTGAGCACATTTAATTTTTCTCTTTGTAATACAGCTTGGCTGCTCTAACTCCTGCTGCAAACACAGTTGATTTTATGACTTTCTCCTTCTTTTTTTTATTTTTTTTTAATTA